CAAAGGCCCCCTTCACGTTCAGGGAGCATTTAGCTTAGCCCTTGCCATGTGGGAGCTCACAGAGTCCCCAGGTGCCCCAGCACATGGTTTATAGAGAGGAAAGAGGTGGCAGTGAGGTAGGACCCTTGTCCAAAGTTATAGGACGGATGGGCAGAGCAGGGCTGTGAACCTAGATCCCTCTGGCAGCAAAAGACAAGAGATGAGGCACTGCCGTGACCTGAGGCCAGGAAGGGGTCTCTGAAGTCACTGTGAAGAGAGGAGACATGCCCCCATCACGGCCAGGCTGTGGCCATGGCCTGGCCCCTCTCCTCCTCCCCTCTGGCCGTGGAAGCTTCCAGTGCCTGGTACAGGTGGGATTCCTGAGAGGAGGGTGAGAAGTGTGGGCTCTCGGGCCAGGCTCCTGGCCCAAAGAAGTGGGGAATGACACAGTGCTGGCCTCTCAGAGCTGCTGCGAGGAGCCCAGGGGCTCACCCAAAAAGTCAGCACATGTGAGTGCTCAGAGCAGGGCAGGGCCTAATGTGACCTCAGCCTGCTCTGGCAGCCATGATGATTGCTGCCGTGATTACTGGGGAAAATGGCTTTCTGGCTTTCTGCTAGAACTTGTTTCTGTCTGGTGACATGAAGATGCTGCTGACATTTGGCTACAATAGACTGTCCTGGGCTACAAAGAATGAAACCAAATAAGAACATGTCATTATTACCCATTTTCAGAGTCAGGGGTAAAAATACCTTGGGCCACTGAGCCCCGCAAGGTATACTGACATGAAGTTATTTTGTTTTATTTTTTTTTGAGATGTAGTCTTGCTCTGTTGCCCAGGCTGGAATGCAGTGGTGCGATCTCGGCTCACTGCAACCTCCACCTGCTGGGTTCAAGTGATTCTCCTGCCTCAGCCTCTTGAGTAGCTGGGATTACAGGCATGCACCACCATGCCTGGCTAAATTTTGTATTTTCAGTAGAGGTGGGGTTTCACCATGTTGGCCAGGGTGGTCTCAAACTCCTGACCTCAGGTGATCCATCTGCCTTAGGCTCCCAAAGTGTTGGGATTATAGGAGTGAGCCAACGTGGCTGGCGACATGAATGGTTTTTATCCCAGCAGCAATGGGCCCCGTGGCAGGCAAAGTCAGGGAAGACTGGGTTTTAGGGGTGAACATCAGTCCTAGGGTGACCTTTGGCCTCAGACTGACACACTGCTGTGCACGGCCAAGGATCCTAAAGGCTGATTGGGTCTCCCCAGGCCTGGCTGCATCCTCTCTGGCAGCAGAGATGTCCAGGCCCCGGGAGTCCAGGCATGTCTCTAACAAAGGGCTGATCCCAGAGGCCTCCTCTGTCCTTTGAAGCTTTCTGCATAGGCTCAGGGTATGGCAGGCCCACGGGCCTGTTTGACATCCCTGTCCCCAGAGCCAGCAGGACCTCCGCAGACTCCCCTGAGTGGAGACAGGAAATACAAAAGGAGGAGACACAGGAGACCCCAAGGGTGGGAGACAGGAAAGCGTGGTGTCCCTCAGCCAGCTTCCCCCAGAGCTGCCCACCCAGGCCGCTCCCCATCCTGTTTGCCCCCAGGCCATTCTCTCCCCCATGCTGGGGCTCTGCACAGGTCAGGAATGAGGGAGGCAGGGTGGGAGAAGCCTCTGCCTTCACCGCTCTGCGAGGGAGGGGGAGATGTTTATGCTAGGACAGGCGAGAGGAAAATCCCATGTGGGTGACTCTGCCTCGGGGGGCCTTGGGAACCACGGCTGTGGTGCATTTAGGCCAACACAGCAGCTACCCAGGCGTGTGATGGGCTTGCTTCTCCACTGCTGTGTGTGATCCGCGCCATTTGGTTCCCTACAGATGCCACCAACTTCATCTTTGCTAGGCTCCCTGCCTCTGAGGCTTTCCAGACAGTCCCTTCGTGCCTTTGGGGCAATCTCCCTACACGGACACAGCACTGCTGCCTCCAAGTTCTCCAAGTTCTCAGGGCTGCGCCCTGGAGAGCCAGAGGCAGGCAGAATCCAAACAGGAAGAGGGTATGGCTTCACAGTCTTGTCCATGTGCATGGCCAGATGGAAACAGACAGAACGAACCCCTTGCATGCCTGAGAAGCAGTCTGGGAAGGAGCAGCTCGTGGAGGGATTGAGTGTGCACTTCCTGCTTGCCTTCTGACCTCAGCACCACCCCACACACCCTCAGTGCCTGGCGCATGCCCTCCAGGGCAGTGGAGGTGGGAGAGGGGGGCAGGGCATGCTCTGGCTTCCTCGGCTGTTCTCTTACTGGTTTGAGCTGACCTTTTAAAATCATGGCCCCATTTGTAAAATCTGATGCCAGCTGTGGACATACGCATGTGCACACACGTGGATCTGCTTGGAGCCTTGAGGCCCACACGTGAGACTCAGGTTAAGAGCTCCTGGCCCACAGAGTTGTGGATTCTCCTCCCGCAGCCCCCACTGCTCCTTGGCTGTGGATTCTTGAAGCAAGAAGTGTGACTGGCTGCAGGCACTTCCTTGGTGTTCTTTCCAGGACGGAGTTTCTTCCATCTGGCATGCTTTGCTGTTTTTCTATGAATTCCGAGTGAGTCCCTGGCTGATGTGAGCTAATCTGACAGCCTCGGTGAGCTGGGGCAAGAGTCTCTACTGCCGTAGCCTCGTTCACGGCCCGCCCATCTTGGCATGGCCAGGAGCTGGGGTTCAGAGTGCCCTGCCATATAGTGCCCCCGGCCCTGGTGCCCGAGCAGTGCAAAGGGCTTGATGCTGCAGGGCCTGCCAGGGACCCCCTGGGTCAGGCTCTGCTCCCCCAGGGCACATATCCTACTCCCTCCAGCCCCGGCTGCCCTCAGCAGTTTCCTGGTCCTCCTTCCATGAGCAGGAGCCCAAATCACAGTCATCAACTTCTCTGTGCCCGGGAGGAAGAGATAAAACACAGGGAAGACAGGTCACAGACGGCCTGGGAGGCCTGGGTGTCCTGGCCCTGTCACAAGGCTGTGCTGCCTTCAAGTTCTCTGCTGCTGCCAATTTGAGAAGGAGAGAAGAGGCTGTGGCGCCTGCTTCCGGGGGAGGGAGAGCTGAGGGCGCACCCCCAGGGCTCCTCTGCCTGGGCCTCCTCCCTGCAGGATGTCTCCTCTTGGCTACTGCCCGTCTTCCGGTCAGTTCTTGCTGCTCCTCCCCACCAGACCCTCCCTTCCTAAGGAAGAGCTCTCTCTCCTCTCTTCCTTGTCCATCCCCTTCGCTGGGCCCCCACACTCCACCTCTGGCATTCCTGCCATCTGTCCCAAGGACTTAAGGTTGGTCCCCATGTGCTGACTTGGGGACACAGGATGGAGAATGGACTTGCTTGCTGAGGGATAGAGGGTGGGAGTCCCAGCAGGGGTCCCAGGGTCAGGATGTGGGAACCACTTCCCTTGGTGTTCTTTCCCTTGGTGTCAGTTCACGGCCACTGACTGCCTAGAACTGGACTCCTGGGCAAGGCCCCACATGGGCCTTCTATGACTTGACCTGGCATGTCCTGGGGCACAGGCAGGCCTGCGGGGCTCTGGCCGCCCCTTGAACTTCTCAGGCACTGGGCCTTGTCTCAGCACCAAACAGGGCTGGGGCGCCTCCCACTGAGGCCAAGGAGGTACTCTCAAGCTGAGACCAGCACAGCTGGGCTGTGAGGGGAGGCTGAGGCTGCAAGGCCCCTAAACCTCTATGACGCATGAGGCTGCATCAAAGTGAGAGGTGAAGCCAGCTGGACTTCCTGGGTCGAGAGGGGACTTGGAGAACTTTTCGGTCTAGGTAGAGGACTGTAAACACACCAATCAGCGCTCTGTGTATAGCTAAAGGATTGTAAATGCACCAATCAACACTCTGTAAAAACAAACCAATCAGCACTGTGTGTCTAGCTAAAGGACTGTAAACACACCAATCAGCACTGTGTCTAGCTAAAGGATTGTAAATGCACCAATCAGCACTCTGTAAAAACACACCAATCAGCACTGGGTCTAGCCAAAGGATTGTAAACGCACCAATCAGCACTCTGTAAAAATGCACCAATCAGCCCTCTGTGTCTAGCTAAAGGATTGTAAATGCACCAATCAGCACTCTGTAAAATGGACCAATCAGTGCTCTGTAAAATGGACCAATCAGCAGGACATGGGCAGGGCCAAATAAGGGAATAAAAGCTGGCCGAGCCAGCAGCAGCAACCCTCTTGGGTCCCCTTCCAAACAAAGAAGCTTTGATCTTTCATTCTTCACAATAAATCTTGCTGCTGCTCACTCTTTGGGTCCACAACACCTTTAAGAGCTGTAACACTCACTGCGAAGGTCTGTAGCTTCATTCTTGAAGTCAGCGAGACCACGAACCCACGGGAAGGAGTAAATTCCAGACACAAAGGACAGAGACCCCCATGGAGACACCTGAGATTCACTGGGAACTTTCCTACCAACTGTATCCCCAGGTATTTTCCAGGACTGCATCGCCAGAGGGAAGTGGCGTCTGCCAGGGCCCAGGGAGAAGAGTCCCTGTCATCTGGAAGGGACTGAGGGACGAGCGCTAGGGATGCTATAGCCACCTTTACTTCCAAGGACTGCCCAGAAACAGCCTGTGAGAATAATGCCGTCTCCTGCCTGTGCTGCCTGCCACTATTTTTAGTTTCTCAGAGAGAAAGGGAATGGCCACCTAGTATTCCACCTGTGAGACGCCAAGACCGAAGCCCCTGGATACCAGACTGGAGAGGTGCTGCCCAGGCAGAGAGACCAGCAGCCGACCCAGAAGGTTTTATGTTTAGTCAGTGGCTCAAAGGCATCAAAGGTGCAGGGAGATGTGAAGAAAGTCCTGTGAGGGTCTCTGGAGGCTGCTAGAGGACGAGAGCTGCCTGCCTCTGGGGGCTCTTGAGGTGGGAGATTGCCAGTAGCAACCCACAGACCCCTCATATCCTGGCCGAGCTCCAGAGCTCCTGAGCAACAACCCAAAGGACCGCCGTGGTCCAGCCCAAGACCGGCACTGGCACTAAGGCCCCTGAGGCTGGAACCTTCAGGAGAAGACTTACCGGAGGTGTTCAGTAGGCCGGCTCTGCCGGGGGTGGGCACCTGGAGCTCTGAGTGGCTGGCCCGGAGGTCAGGGCCATCGAGGGGCCCTGGGTCATCCGTCTGGCCTGCAGGGGAGGAAGCGATTTCTGCCAGCACCTCCAGGTCCTTCAGGATCACCTGGGGAGAGAAGCAGGGCGGCAGGGATGAGCTCTCCACTGCAAGCTGTGCTGACCTGGGCAGAGGTGCGGTGGGTGGCACAGAGCCACCTGCAGAGGTGGGGAGGGGTCTGCAGATGACAGCAGGCTGGGAAGAGCCACTAAGGCCACAGCTGGGGCATGCTCAGAAAAGTGAAACAAAGGATCCAGATCGAAGGGAACACAGACTGCAATGAATGGGGCCTCTGGGGGAAGGAAACTGGAATCCGAGGTTCAGTGAGTCAGCTTCCTCATGATCCCTCTCCTCTTGGGTCCCTTGAACAGGGTTCTGAGGGTCCCTGCGAGTCACAGGACTCAGGAAGCAGGGTGTTGTCTGCACAGTGTGCATTTAAAGGCCCCCAGGCTGCACAAGACTCCCAAAGTGCCATCCAGGCCATGTTCCACTGTGTCCACTGTGGAGCAGCCACGGCCCCACCCACCATCAGGCCACAGAACAGCTTCTTCTGCAGAGGTGACACCAGGCCACTGCAGACCCTAAAGGGCCCTCCACATGTGGCATGCTACTCTGGTCTCCAAGGTAAAGGACTTCCTAATGTCCGGACACGTCAGGTGGTCCTCGGTGGCTCTAAAGTGTCCCTGCACAGATTTGGGTGGGGCAAGGCCCCAGCCTGACCACCTGCCTGCTGAGTTCTTCTGAGACAGAGGCAGAGGAGGGCGTGGGGCCAGCGCTGAGTGTGAGTGCAGGTCAGCGCTGTGTCACAATGTCCCCAGGGTTGCTCTACAGCCCCTGTATCCTTAGAAGCTGCCTCTCCTCGCACAGCACCCATCTTTGCCTGGCACCAAGAGCTGGCATGGTGGCAAAGTCCAGCCCACCACTCTGCTGCAATGGGCAGTAGGGAAAGGGGCGGGGGCCCTGTGTGTGTGTGTGTGTGTGTGTGTGTGTACCTGCCCCAGGGACTGCTGAGGCTTCCTGGCCACCTTCTGCTGGCTGTGCTTGTCCTGAAGGGAACTCCTCCCACTGCAGGTGGTCGCCTGCTCTTTCTGCCCCTCATTCCTCTCTTGCTCTGGGCTAGGGACTGTGCCTGTCCCCCCAAAAGGTGTATCTCCGGACTGCCCTGTGCCCAGCAGATGCCCAACAAACATCAGTTGAATGGGTGGTTGCCTGCGTCTCTTCCTGGGCTATTCTGAGCCCAGGCCAAGAATAACCACAGCAAGTAGGGGCTTCAGCCCTAGACCAGGGGAAGTGGGTCAGAGCCTGATGGGCAGGGCCACATGGGCCAAGACTGGCCAGGTGGCTGGAATATGGGAATACAAGATAAGGTTAGCACTGTAGGGCTCCTACTGAGGGATTAAAATGTTCTGGAATTAGACTGGGGGGATGGTTGCAAAAAGCTTGTGAATATACGAAAAGCCAGTGAATTCTATGCTTCAAAAGGGCAAATTTTATCTCGAAAACAAACAAGATAAGGCCTACCCCCTTGAAAGCCATTCCTGTCAATGCAAACACAGTGCCAGTGCCTCCCCCACACTGCCCAATTGTCACTTCTCCTCTTGGTTCCTCTAGGCCAGCCCTGGCACACCTGGCCGGGAACCCCTTTGCTTGCTCACCCATTCCCGCCCCTCAGTCTTCAAACAGTGTCACGTGTTGGCACGCAATCTCCCAGCCTCACCCAGGCAGGAGCTGGTGCTCACTCTCACAGACCCGCCTCCTACTGTCCAACTCTGTACTTCCCTTTGTCCCTCTCCCACTCATGGAGACTGGGATGTCTGTGGGCCCCTGAGCCCCTGCTCTGTGCCAGTGGCTGCGCTGGATTCTGGGGCTGTATAGGTGAGTCACAGCCACCCCTGCCCATGGCCTGGCACACAGAATGGAGAGCTGATGAATCCACGTGGCTGAGACACATGGCTGCCATACAGCCCAGTCATATGGCAGAAGCAAGGGGTGCTCCTGCACCCAGGCCAGGAGCCGGGGATCCCTGGGCGGGTCTCAGTCTAGAAGCAGGGAGGGCCAAGGCCTCTGCTCCCACTGAGGACAGAGCCTCCAGGGATTCTTTGCTTTAGCCACAGAAGAAAGACACAGGGCAGAAGCCAGGATGGGCAACTGGCACAGCAATATATGACGCCGCGGTCCTGCCCGATTCAGCCCCTGCACACCTGCCACGGCAGGATGTAGAGAGGCCACGCACCCCAATGCTTGCTTGACTGTCCAAGCATGGCCAGGGAGGGGACTTGAGACCAGGAAATGGAGTTGGGGGGAGGGTGGGGGAATGACTCACCCAAAATTAAACAGCGAGCAAGAGTCAAGCCAACAGCTCCTCAGTTACCCAGAGAGCTGCCATAGGTATACGCCCACTCCTAGGCAGTTACCAAGAGAACCGCAAATGTCTGTGCACATCAAACTTGTATATAAACGCTCACGGCGGCATTTTTCCTAATAGCTAGAAAATGGAAATAACCCAAAGGCCCTGCAGTGGAGACACGAAGAGATGGAACGTGGCACATCCACACCAGGGAATATTATTTGCTAATAAAAAGAAATGAAGTACCTGCTACACGTGGATGAACCTTGAAAAAACCTGCTGAGAAGTCAGTCACAAAGTCCACACCCTGTATGACGACTCCATTAACAGGAGATCCACATAGACAGAGGGTGGATTTGTGGTTGCCAGGGGCTGTGGGGAGGGAGGCATGCGGAGTGACTCCTAATGGGTGCAGGGTATGTATAGGGCATCTTTCTGGGGTCATGAAAATGTTCTGGAATTAGTAGTGATGGTTGTATAATCTTGTCAAAATACTAATAGAGTCGTTTTTATGAATTTTATGGTATGTGAGTTGTACAAAAAAAAAGGGGGACAGGCCAGGCGCGGTGGCTCACGCTTGTAATCCCAGCACTTTGGGAGGCTGAGGTGGGAGGATCACGAAGTCAGGAGATCAAGACCATCCTGGCTAACACGGTGAAACCCCATCTCTACTAAAAATACAAAAAATTAGCCGGGTGTGGTGGTGGGCGCCTGTAGTCACAGCTACTCGGGAGGCTGAGGCAGGAGAATGGCGTGAACCTGGGAGGCAGAGCTTGCAGCGAGCTGAGATCGCGCCACTGCACTCCAGCCTGGGCGACAGGGCAAGACTCCATCTTATTTAAAAAAAAAAAAAAGGGGGGGGTGGGGGGACAAAACCCCAAATCAGCAACCTAATTCCTAACCCATCTGCTCTTGCTCTGCCCGCAGCCCGAGGTGGTAGGGTCTCACCCACTCCCCGGGGTCCCTCGCCTGATCCAGGGGAGAGGAGGAGCATGAGGAGGCGACCTGTGTCTCTCTACATCACTTCGCCCCCCGCCCCCATGCTGCCCATCCCACCCCGGTCTGTCTGTGCAAGGGGACAGAGGCACATGCCTCTGGGCAGCCAACACTGGTGGTCACGTGCAGCAAGGGAGGAAGTGAGGAGAAAAGTGTGAGCCAGCGGGGCGGCTGGGGCCAGGCCAGCCCTCGGCAAGATCCCTGTGCCATGCGGACAAACTGATTCATGCTGGGTATCCAGCAGGTACCTATTTCCCTGTTGGAAAGGAGGCCTGGAAAAAGCCACCAAGAGGCCTGGCCTGTGCAAGGTTGTTTCCACCCCTTGAGTGGCTCCAGGGCCAGCAGAGCAGGCTGTCCTCGCTCCCGGCCACAATGAATGCCCTTACTTGTCACCAGTCTCACCTCACATGATACACACAAGGGATCTGAGACTTGGACAGTCACTTGCTCAAGGTAACAGTGAGTCCACCTCAAACCCAGCTCTGGTCCCCAAACCCGAGCCTGCTGATAACACTACACAGGGTGCCGTGGTCAGACAGTCCTGACATCCAATCCTGACCCTGGACCAGTTAACTTCAACCACACAACGCTCCCTTTCCAGACAGCTACTGAGCAGCTGCTGTGAGCTGGTCCTGTGCTGGCTATAAGAGACACAAGGCCAGACAGGCCAGGCTCTGCCTTCAGTGAGGTCACAGACTCCCGGAGGAGTCAGGCAGTGAGCATTTACTGATGATACAGGGCGGGTGCCAGGGTCCCTGTGATGATGCCTGAGGGGAGCCAGGAAGCTCTGGAAGTAGTTGAGCATGAGTTGGCCAAGGGAGTGAGAAGGGAGAGAAAGGCATTCGAGAATGGCATTCAAAGCATTCTCTTACCTAGCATAAGCTATTCATGGATGCAGAACCACGTGGCACATTCCAGGAAACTAGGCTTTGGGGCCAGCTCCAGAGTGGGGAATGGGGCCAGAGGTGAGGGTATGGCCAGAAATCAGGCCAAAGTGGTAGGCAGGGCCAGACCTTCAAGAGCTCATGACACAAGGCCAGGTGCAGTCGCTCACACCTGTAATCCCAGCACTTTGGGAGGCCGAGGCAGGCGGATCACTTGATGTCAGGAGTTCAAGACCAGCCTGGTGAACATGGCAAAACACTCTCTCTACTAAAAATACAAAAATTAGTTGGGTGTGGTGGTGCGAATCTGTAATCCTAGCAACTCAGGAGGCTGAGGCAGGAGAATTGCTTGAGCAGAGGCTGTAGTGAGCTGAGATCGCACTACTTCACTCCAGTCTGGGCGACAGAGTGAGACTCTGTCTCAAAAACAAAAACAAAAACAAAAAACCATAAACCAAAAAAGAGCTCATGACATAGACAAAGAAGTCTGAACTTCATTTTGCAGAGGATGGGAGCCTCGGTTTCCTCATATGCACAATTGAGATTGGACCTTGCCAGGCTGTTGTGAAGGTTATAAGAGATAGTTGATGTGCAAAGCACGAAAAGCAGGCACACAAGAAAGGCTGGCTCACCACTTCCATTCCAAGATTTCAGGTCCCACAGCTGAGCTGTTCCCCGGCCCAGGCTTAGTGACTGAGCACGGACAGCAGTGCCCACACCAAGGGCTTCCGACCCCGCTTTCTCCCCTGCAGAGAATGTGCTTAGCCCACCTCAGTACTACTGCCTCCCACCCCACTGTAGAGCACAGCCAGCAAAGCCGCATATTTTACATTTTCAATTCT